CACATGAGCAGCCAAAGAAGAACATCAAAATTGCAGGGAAGGGAAAGGAAGGAATAGAAAGATGTTAACTGTGTTGAGCAGAGGACTCTCCCTCTTACTCAGCTATGGCTGGGATTGTTGATTTTGTGTAGTAACAGAGTAAAGGGAAACTCACAATTTCCAAGTTATTGGCCTCATTTTAAGAATCAGATGCTCAGTGCTAAATTCACAGCTGGTCAGATAAACTCTTTCAATTGTTCACAAATTTCTCAACAAGATCCTAAGTAATAGGCTGGCATTCATCAGTCCTCACTGGGGACGGGGCAATGCCTCCCTACTGATGTTTTTTTCTTTCTCTAAACAAAGAGCCAGACTTGAGAACGTGGATTCTAAGAACCAGGTTTGAAAGCCTTGGGCATGAAGCCACTGGTCAATCCTTGACCTTACAGAATCCACATCATGTTCCTTATTCCATGATAATCGATGACCAGGATACATACAGGAAAATCTGTTAAGGTGACTGTCATGCCAAAATGTTGTAAATCAGGCCAGGAGATGAGAAAAAGAAACACATCTACAAAACTGAAACCCCACAGTTGAGTCCAATTGACCCTCCACACCATTTGAACAGTATTTCCATTGGGAATCGATCCGATAGCTGCTTATATTTCTGCTCTTTTAGTTTAATCTCCATATTCCTTGCTTTTAGTAACACATGTAATCCCGGATCATTCCCCCCTGACCCCCAACTTTCATTACTGATTAAGCTTTCTTTTTAAGAAGACCTAATCCCACTAGACTCTTTTTCAGACATGTGCTCTTTTTAATAGTCATGCTTGATTCTGTGAGATAAAGCCTCAGATATGTCCCTTTACCTACAATGATGAACTATTTCCAAATGGACCATCATTTTCCCAGAATTCTATCAGAAGAGATATATTTTATTTGTACCAAATACCACCGGACCAGCGCTCGTGTTAATTAAGGTACAGCTGATCCACACTAAATGAGCATTAGTATTTGCCATTTCTTTTAAAGTATTTTTCTAATTGCCTGCTATTCGATTTCTTAATTCCCCCCAGCTAGCCAATGCAATAGACTTTCCAGAGCTGGCCCCTCTTCCCTGATTATAAATATGCTATGAAAGCCAACTCTGACAGATTTCCTGATTCTTTTTAAACTTTACTTTAGTGCCTGATGTTTCATTGCTGTCGATCACAGTGCCCAACATTTCCCCAAACTGAAGACTGTCCCAGAGATTCCACTCAGGGTCTTGGGTCACTCAGTTCTGAACATTGGATACTAAAATAATTAGGCCAGGCATCATGTTAGACACTGGAAGATGATAGGAAATGATAAAAACTTGGATCTTGCCCTCAAGCAAGTTGGTCCAATGGTGCCATACATTTTATAACTTTATTATATTAGCTGTAGGGATGTCAATTATCCATTTTTTACTTTCTTTAGTCCTAAACTCCCCTTCTTCTGATCCTAATTTTGGTGTTTATAAATGTCATTTTAAAAGGCCTCATAGAGAATTTCCTTTTGCTATTCCGTCATTCCTGTTGGGAAATGTGCAAATATCCCTACAGGTTAATCTAGCGAAGTAAAACCACTGTGATAGAAACTATGATGCATAAGTCAGTCTTCAAACCCCGTCTTTCACAGCTAAGGGCAGATGGCATTCACCTTTCACCACCTCTCATCAATGTAGAAGCTAGGAATGCGATATGCTTAAGAACATAAACATTTTGTAGCTTTCAACAAAAACATACTGCTTCTGTGGGTCTTCAGTGACCCAGGCATCTGGTCACCTCCCAATCTGGATGAAGCCAAATGGACAGAGGTCTGGAGGGGGCCTCCAGACGCAGCAGGAAGCTGCCCTGTGGAGAGAGCACCACAGATTGTTGGTGCAGTCAGTACCAAATGCCACGGAAAGGCGGGCCTGAGCTTACACGTGCCCAAGCCTGCTCAGTCCACCTCTTGGAACAACCTCATGCCTGCGTGAGAGCCAGTGGGGCCAATCTTATCACTCACTCATTCACTCATTCATCCCAATTCACAACTCTTGCTCAGCATGATCTGAACTCTCTGATTTCAACTTGACCTGGTTGTCCTAAGCGCTGAAATGTTTTCAGGACCCGGTTGAGCTCCCAGTGTGCCTGTGAGGGGAGAGTAACAAGCTACACTTTCTGTCCCTCTTACAGACTCTCAGAAAGGAGCTAAAAAGGGGTCTAGCACTCTCTGAGGAGAATCAGGGAGGCTAAGTTCTTTCCTGAAAACCTCAGACCTAAATCAACAAAAGGTGAGAGGCAGTGTTAGGGTAGAAGGTGAGCACTGGAGTTAAACTGAGAGACAGAAAAGGGAATCAGGTTGATGGATTTGTGAAAGAAGTCTGTTTAGGGTGCATGCCATTGCCTCACCAGTACCTCTCTTTTCAAATATAAGAATAGCAGCAGTGTCGAGAGACTTTAGATTATTTACAAAAAACCCAAAAGAAGGCAGAAACTTTCCTTTCTTTTAAAAAAAAAAAAAAGGAGGGCAAATTAGAGTAAGTGCTTTCCCCTGGAATCTCTTCTCACACTTTGGTTTAATCAATTATTCAAAATATAGAATTCTGCCCCCTACACTGCCCTCCTTGCCGCTTTCTATGGAAAGAATACATTTGAAAGGGCTCATTCCCCAAAGCTGCTCCACTCGTTGGCCTCACCGATGTACTCATTCATATAGCAGGCATTTGAGTGCCAACTCGGTGCTAGGTCTGGGTGAGGGGGTCCCTATCCAGGCCCGGTGGAGTTTGCAATCCATAGGGGAGAGACTAGTTTATTCAAAATATGTTACACAAGGAACAGCCGGGCAGACAGCATTCCTGTACCAATCGAGGACGTTCAGATCCAAGTCCCAAAGGCACAGTGAACTGTCACACTGTGTTTCTGCTAATTGTATTCACTAAATATGTGTCAAGCTCAAGGAAGTGCAATAGACATACAATCATTTCCTTTTATTTTTGATTAGGTATTAGATATATATAGTAACAAAATTAAAATAACACAAAATATTGCACAATGAAAGATAACTCTTCCTCTGACCTCCCAGGCTTCCTGTCCTGACAGAGGGTCAATCATACTTCTCAACTTTTTACGTGCAATCTTCTGAAATTTTCACCTGTTCCAGGCTGAATTATGTCTCTCCAAACTTCAAATGTTGAAGTCTTAACCCCTAGTACCTCAGAGTGTGAGCATACTTGAAGATAGGACCTTTAAAGAGGTAACTAAGTTAAAATGAGGTCAGTAGAGTGGGCGCTATTCCAATAAAAATGGTGTCTTCATAAGAAATGGAGATTAAGACAAAGACACACACAGAGGAAAGACCATGTGAAGGCACAGTAAGAAGAAGGGCGGCCCCAAGCTAAGGGGAAAGCCCTCAGAAAGAAATCACCTT